CTCCCTCCCCCCTTCCCCCCCCCCCCTTTCTGCCGTGCAGCTGCTCAGCTCTGCGAGGGAAAGGCTCCCAGATGTGCTCGGGAGGGAGCGGGCAGAGTCCTGAATTCCACTCCACGCCGGGTGGACTCTTTGTATATTTTGTTTTAAGGAGAAAATATGTAGAGAGTCCTTGGAGAAAGGCCGGGGACCAGGCACGTCCCTCCGAGCACAGTACCCACAAGTACCCACAAGGCGAGGGGGTCCTGCAAGTCATCTGCCCTTGGGTTGCCTTCGCCTGCGGGACGGACGGGCTGACGGGCAGCTCTCGGCATCGTCGGCAGCTGAAGTCCATCTGCATCACATGACAGGTCCCTAAGCCCTTTCCTGGAGATGGCTCAAGGCGACCAGACCCTTTGAGAAAAGCGGGGCTTTACTCAAAAGCCAGCAAGCGCCGCAACATCTAAACAGCCACGTTTGATATTTTTGGTATTTTTGGCTCGTAACTGATGTGCCATATCAGATCAATAAATACTCCCGCACTTGTAAGTGGTTTATGGAGCTGGTTTCATCGCATTTTAAGTGCGTTTAGCTGTGGTACTTGGTAGCTACTTGATTATTGCGTGAGACAATACATTTATGAAGTGTTGGCCTTCATTTAGTTAATCACTTCATTGATGTGTAATATAAAAATGGTATGAAACTAATTGTTTCCGTGGAAACAGGAACCCAGCAAATGATTTCATATCACAGCTTGGCAAAAGAAAAAGAAGAAACTTCTGTAATTGTTCCCATTAACCAAGCGCAAAGGATTCATGCTCAATCTCTACTACACTCTGTTTCACTTCTGCTGTGAATTAGGGGACGAAAAGTCAGCACAGAACCACATAAAAAAGCACTGAAACAAGCTGCGCTTTATTGAGTATTTGTAGTTCTGCCACCAAAACCATTTCCCTTCTGCTTTACAGGTTTCTGGCCAGCAACACCAACGACTGTCACAGCCAACCCTTGACCCCAACAACCAACAGTTCATTTGGCGATGTCATGCAGAGGGGCTTAACTATGCACGAGCCGTGCAAGAGGAGGGAGAACATCCCCAACCACGCTGCAGGACTGAGCTGTGGGTTGGAGACAGGGCAACCCTCACCTCAAGGTTCAAAAGCGTAGGCGAAGTCAACTTTTGGAGCAAGTAATTGGGGCAACCCTCTGCAGCTGCGGGCAGCAGAGATAGGCTGCCGTGCAAATCAATCCACGTGCACGAAATAACCCAAACCTCATCTTTACTGAGGTTTTCCTCTCTTTTTCTACAGGATGCACTCATGACTGGGTCATCTCAAGGGCTTTGTTGCTTTAGAAATTTCACGGTATCACTGTACTAGAGGCACTCCCATTTTCCACTTCTCCAAATTTCCTACCAGACTGAGATTTCCTCATCTCAGGCAGGCCAGTGAGGAGCAGCAGGTCCTAGCAAAGCACTTTATGGCCATGGACCATCACGTGTAAGATCAGCCTGGCCAGTTTTAGTAAGACCAATGGCTCTACAATGCCACAGGGTGGCCTACCTCTGCACCAGTGCGATAAAAGGGAACCAGTAGCACAAACCCCATCCTGGATACCGGGCCAATGGCCACTCAACCCCACCAGCTTCTCTGGAGGGACCAGGAGACATGGACCTGCTCCATCCCGGGAACCACTGCAGAATGGGTTTCTCACTAGGCTAATTACTGCTAATTTTGCCACTTTGCTATCTCGCCAGCCTTGCCCTCCATGGGGCTGATAGGGTATCAGTCAGATAAGGAGCACTCAGCACAGGTAACTGGTGAATGTTGTCAGACCTGCGGTGGGATGAGCTGCCTTCTGGAGGGGTTATCTCTCCTGCTGAGAGCCCGAGGCGCTGACCTCCTAAGAGGGACGCTGGGATCCTAAGGAGATGTGGAGGGTAGCTGTGACCGGCATGCTCCTCTAAGCTTTTTAGGAGGTGCTACAAGGGATTTTGGTGACTCAGAATTTGCAAACCCTAGAAAAGCAAGCTGGCATTCATTTTCTAGTAATTCTTTTTAAATTTACTTAACATGCAGTTTATTCTTTTGAGTGGTTTTTGCTGTTGTTAATTTAACACTGTGGAAATGAAGGTTTCATCATTTCTCCCCCCCTTTTTTTTTCCCCACAGAGAAATAAATGCTGCTCTTTTAACAAACGCTGTATCTCTCAGATCTTTTGTTATTTTTTGCCATCCCTGCTGACCTACCTGAAGTAATTGGGGACAGGGTTTAGTGGTGGGATGGCAGGGTTAGGGTAACGGTTGGACTTGATGATCTTAAAGGTCTTTTCCAACCAAAATGATTCTATGATCCTATGATTCAAAGTCAGCTTCTACACTGGCCTGAGCGCTAGGTAGGAATTATTAACACCTGCTTACCAAAGTGGAAACTTGGACAAGGTGTTGTCGTTGTTCTGCAAGGTTTTCTGAAAATTACTTGCTATAGAACACCTGAAAATTTTGCAGCCAACTCAGGGGGAAGTCTTGTGTGTAGACGCAGCTTCTGGCTGTGCGTACAAGCACACATCGCACCTTGGTGGGTAGAGCACACTGGTGTGCAACACTTGGCCGCACCAGTACCCACGTGTTGTCTTGCACTTGGGTATCTCGCTGCTTGTTGTAAAAACTAAGAGAGCACCACTACTTCGTTTGATGGATGAGTCAACAGAGCTTGTTCATGGCTATCAAAGTCAATGAACAGCAGGGCGACTCACACACCTGAGAAATCTGCTGGGTCCTCTAATCCAAAGCTTGGGATATTTTCCATGTCAAGTCTCTCCAATTCTAAGAGCAATGTAGGAGAGCTGGATAGACAGGCAGACAGACAGAACATTTTCTTTCTCGAGGTACCTCAATCATCTGCTTTTCCTTTTACCCTGCAAGTCCAGTCCCCTTTCGGTTAGGTTTAAGTTACCAAAGTTTCTCAGCTTGTTACAGTAAAGCTCATAACAAAGTCTGTGGCCAGCGCTTTCTTTGATAATTCCTTTCCCCCCATTTGTTTATCTCAAGTACTGAGCTTTGTTCCAGGCCCAAAACCAAAAGCCTTTCTACCCTGTTCTCTTCTTGACTTGTTGCAGATGTAACGAAATAAATCTTTAGAAAGAACAAACCTTCACTTCCTCTCTCCCGTCTGATTCAGTCACAAACCCCAGGAAAGAAAAATAAATCACAATGTGAGCTCGCCCAGTCTCAAAGGATACCACGTCTAGTCCTGTAGGCCACCATTCAACCTGGACGTGTCCATCCCTCAGAGAAGTCAGTGAACACAGCGACCAAATCAGCAGCAACAGCCCGGGCTATCTCATGAAACCACCCGCGCAAAAGAAATCCCCGAGCACTGCCGTGAGCCGGGTGCCCATCTTACCCACTCTTCCCAATTCTCCATGTTATTTTTCCCCTCCATGGTCTGACAATGGGAAAAAGAACTGATAACCATGAAACCCTATCCTTGGCCAAAGCCAAGGACCACCAAAACACTTGTGATCAGCCTGAACAAAGGCTGACGTGATGGTCAGCAGCCGTTGTGAGCACAGCCAAGCTGTTGGCGCCTTCCTGGAGCTTGTCCCCTGGGCACCGAAGGGTGATGTGCCCCGCTGGCTTTTCTCCCAGCCCCACTGGTGGCTCTGCCCCTCTCGTCTCACCCCTGCCATCCACCTAATGCATTTTAAACTGTAATTGGAAAAACCATCAGCAGGACACATTTGTTTTTCTAAACTGGCCACAGCAAAGAGGTAGAAATGTGCCTCCAAATAGTTTCTCCTTCTTCTGAGAGATGTCTCCGTGTGAAAGCTGTGTTGTTCTTCCATCAACCATTAAAGGAAGGCTCAAACGATCTCTAAACGCAACCAGATTATGGGGGCTTATCAAATGGCTGTTTTCAGCCAACGTGCCAGAGATCCTATGTATGTTCTCCCACCCTGCCCCAGCTCTGGGGTGAAGCACATCAACCTGAAGCCCTTTCCAATGCCACTTCCCTGGACTAGGAACAGGCAGCCAGTCACAGTGTCCTCACCACGGGGATTACAAGCAAAGTGGGGCTCAGCTTCTTAAAATGGGATTGCCTATGTTTGCCTACCTGTCTTTAGGTGACATGGGTCTACGTAAAAGACAAGACCTAGCTTTAAGCCGGGGTATACTGGAACTTTATAAAAGGGATGATCTGGATTTTCCCTAGGTAGCATCCGGCCCGTTCATTTTTATTCTTTCAAGGGTACTTGGGGGAAGATGTACAGAACCACGAACAGTGCTGAAGTCAGAAGACATTTGGGTTGTGCCTCTAGTCCCAGACCTTCACTGCAGAGGGATGAACTAAGGGTTTTCTTTCTTGTTTTTTTTTTTTTTTTTTTTTTTTAAATTTAAACAAGAGGTCTTTGCACATTTGAAACAATCTGTACAGTTAGCGTTGAAGAAAGTGTAATTAGACACTTTGAGAACTGGAAGAAATTAACTCCGACCACAGACCGTCACTCAGACTATTACTTAATAATACTTCCCAAATGTGCAAAGTACTTAGTTTTAGAATAACAGGAAAGAAGTATAACTTCTCACCGAGAGCAAAGGCTTTGGCCCGGGAAGCATGCACAAAAATTCGAAAGCCACCATGCTCCAAAGCCAGAAGATGCTTGCCACCACCCACCACTCGAGGGGTACCAGGGTGCTGGGCTGGGACAAACCTGCCCAGCCATGGAGCTGGGCTCTGAAGGATGCAATTCACGGTCCACAGCCCCGTGGTTCTTGAATGGCTGGAACGGAGTCAACGGGAGCGACCGGCCCGAGGTGCAATGAGCTGCATGCGAGAAGATCGCCTTCAGTTTCCAACATGCCAAGGAAACCGCTGAGAAATTGCTGTTTTCCTTCTTCTCCAGCACCGGGCAGAGCCGTTGACTCACCCTGCGCTACAGAGGCCTGGCTAGAAAGAGATTATTGTGATTTCTGCCCGTTTCTTTCCTCACTACAAAAGGCCCCATTCATCTGGGCTAATTTTGAAGGGAGAGCAAGGGGTATCAGTAGCATGAACTGTATCTGAGTGTCTCGACCACATTTCAGCAAGCCACGCTTGTTGGCCAGTCCAACCCAGTGAAATAGATATCTTTCATTTGAAGCTTTTTAGTGGATCGTTTCTCTGATTTTAAACAGAAGTATCTTTTCTGGCCGTGGCAAGTTTAAAAAGTACTGACGAAGCAGGGGCGGCCATTTTCATAGCAAAAACAAGAAGCCATTCAAAAAGTGGGGGAAAAAAGGTTGTTCTCGCAGCAGATACATGTTTCTGCTGCTGCAATCAACGTACCTAGGTTC